CCCCCCGGGCCAAATTTCCCCTCAGAGAGATGCACATGGTTTCTTGTCTTCACTTCTCCCATTGTTAATTCTGAGTGGCTCATTTTCATTGTTTTGACACTCCTGGTATACTCCATGTAACTATATTTGTTAATGTTGCAAATATCCCTAAGCAATTTTGAGGTATTGGGACATTGCACTCTGTTATTTTTATGTCACTAGAAAATCAACTTTAAGGAGGACTGGAAACTGATCACTCTCTTTGTTGGAGGCAATGATCTGTGCCATTACTGCTTGGACAGGGTATGTATCTATAGCAGAGATGACAGCCATGCCAGGGCCCTGGGCAAGGTGGGGGTGGGTAGGCCTCGGCTCTGTGCTCCTGGAAGGGACAGAAGGGGCAGGGCTAGGGTAACCAGCCCTCAGCACCACTCAGAGCGTGCCATGCTCCCCAGCCCTTAGAGCTGCCCAGAGCGCACCACACGGCCCTCCAACAGTTATTTAAAGGGCCCATGGCTCTGGGCACTGCCGCTGCCACAATTGTAGCAGCAGCAGTGCCCAAGAGCCTTGGGCCCTTTAGAATGCTGGGCCCCAGGGCAGTTGCCCCCTTTATGCCCCCTCTTTTGGTAAGCCTGTATAGAAACTGGGCACAGCTCTGGTGAGCGAGGTTAGTAATCTCTTCATTTCCTCTTTGTCAGACAGAAAATGCTCTTGTACCTCTAAAAAGCAATGGGAACTTGTGTTGATTTCATATCTCCCTTAGCTGCTTTTACAGTGTGATTTTGGAGCTCTAGACCAGTGCTTCATTATTAGTAGTTTTTAAGAGCTATCTGCCCAGCACTGTACAACACACAGCAGAAGATGCTGTCCCTGCCTTGAGGAGACTGCAGTCTAAATACAGGTAGACCAGACAATCTGAATGTGAAATCCTTCTGTGTGTCCTTACTGAGACATTGAAGTGCCACTGAGTTCTAGAAAGTGACTTCATAACACTGCCAGGAGGGGGTTCCATCTTTCAGGTCTGTCTTAGAGTTGCTAACTCTCCAGGATTCTCTTGGAGTCTCCAGGAATCTTTAATTAAAGATTGTCATGTGATGAAACTTCATGCATACATCTAACCAAAATTGGTAACCTTACTCTCTATATAGGGTATGTCTACATTGCATTCCTCTTCCAAGAGAGGAATGAAAATGCAGACACCCGAAATTGGAAATGAAGTGTGGATTTGAATTTCCCATGCTTCATTTGCATAATCGTGGACTGCCGCTTTTCCGAAATAGTGTCTTTCGAGACAACAAACGCAGTCCCCGTGGGGTTATTTCGAGAGAAAACCCCTCCTTCCTTACTTGGTAAGGGTTATTTCAAAGGAAAGGTTTTCTCTCGAAATAACCCCACAGGGATCGCATTTGTTGTCTCGTAAGACGCTATTCCGGAAAAACGGCAGTCTGCAATTATGCAAATGAAGCACGGGAAATTCAAATCTGTGCTTCATTTGCAATTTTGGGTGTCTGGATTTGCATTCCTCTCTCAGAAGAGGAATGCAATGTAGACCTACCCTATGATACCAGAGCAAAATTTTACAAATAGAAATGTCTTTTCCTGACAACCAACCATGGAAGCTCACCATTCTGATCTGAGAATCAATCTAGGTTCTTTCCTTCTCATACATCATCCCCTGTAGTAAAGATTCTTCAGGATAAACTATGTGCCTGACCCAGCACCCACAGATATCAATAGGAGTTTCTCTTTTAACTTTCAGTGGATGCTAGACTGGGGCCTATCTACCCAATAACACCCTTACAAGTCCATATTCAAAGTGGGGTTGTATAGTATCGCTGAGTGCCTACTTTAACTTGCAGAATCATTTATGACTGGAGACTGCATACTGGAGGATAGAACCCATTTTGATTCTCAGATCCCATGTTTAATATCCTGGGCTGGCAGTTAGGAAACCAAATCTCTTTATACCTGGAGCAAACCTGGTCTGGAATCAGTGAAACACATTAACCATGATTTATTCAGTCATTCTTCAGAGTAGAAATGCTAACTGTACTTTAAAAGAATGCTATCAAGAATTGTTATAAAACAATAGGGTTTGAACTGTGATTAAGGGAATGCATTGGTCACATGGAAATGCCACAATTATTAGACAAACTATGTCACAATAGGAACAGAACTCAGTATCCATTTGCTCCAAAAACACAAACCTGTGCTATTGGACATAAAAGGAAGCATTTGGACAATAATATAAAATCTAGCCTCTTGCAGGCCTTGCAATGGACCAAGTGGGGTTTTTTTCCCCAGCTGTAGTTTCTTGCACAGTGGAGAAATGACTGATGTAATTCTCTTTTTATACAGGAGACCTATTCGGGAGAAAATTATGTAAAACACCTTCAGGCTGCTCTTGATATCCTTTACCAGGAGGTAAGATTTTAAGATACTTAATCGGGCTTAATTTTGGCAATCATACTCAGATACTTTTCACCTCTGACAGTGTTCATGATTGTTTCATTCAAAACCTTGCACCAAATAGCTAGAGCAGGAACTTTAACACTGATTAATAGTCCAATGACCTTGCTAGCTAATGGGCAGTAAAGAGGTGGGCTGCTGCTTTGGGGAAAACTGCAGAATAGCGTTCCCTTCTATAGTTATTTAGTATCAGGTGTTATTTCTACATGTGAATGTCATGAGGTGGAAAACCCCCCCAAAATACTAGAATGAGCAAAAATCTTCCATCAATTCGTGGACTCCCAAGTTCAGCTGAATTTAGGAAATGTTTTCTGAGCCATCAAATGTCCCTCAATGTCACGGCCTCCTGCACTGCTACAGAAAAGAGAGAGAGAGAAAACAAGCACAAGAGTAAAGGAAGAACTGACTGTCCTTGATTTTCACATTTTAATGGTGTGGGTGGAGGAGGGATACAGAAAAACCGCAGAAGCTAAACAATATAATCTGGCCCTGAGCATGCTGCAATCAAGCCTGAGGATTTTCTACAGATTCCTCCTCCTGCCTGGACTCACCTCACCATGTTGCTCCAGAATCCAAACCAATCTTTTTTAAAAAATTGCATTTTTAACCCTTGAAGTTGTAAAAATAACCAAAAGATGAAGAAACCTAATTAGAGGTTAGTACACTAGCCTAGGGCTTGGAAGAGATGGGTTCAATTTCCTGCTTCATCGCAGACTTCCTGTGTGACCTTGGGCAAATCACATTGCTTCGTGCCTCAGTTTCCCATCTATAACAAGAGGATAATAACACTGCCCTGTCTCATAGTATGTCTATACTACACCACTAATTTGAACTAACTTAATTCGAATTAGTTAATTCAAAATAAGCTAATTCGAATTAGTGCATCTAGACCTTGCTAATTCGAAATAGCATGTCCACATTGAGTGGACCCTGAACCAAAGTTAAGGCTGGTCGGAACCAGTGCCGGCAGGGCATCAGGTTAGGACTTAGAGTGTGGAGCTGTTGCCTCAGGCTAGCCCAGGGCTGTGCTTAAAGGGACCTGACCCCCATTCCGGACAGACAGTTCTCAGGGTTCCCCACTTGCTTGTCTAACTCGATGAGGGACAGCAAAGCAGTCCTGTCTTGGAGTGCCAACACTCGGCCCATCACAGCACTCAGCCATCAGCCCGGCTGCACTTGCCGCAGGCTGCCATCCGGGGGGGGGAGTCAATCAGGGGGCTGTCAGGATCCAGGAGGCCCTGTAGGAGAGCTTCCACCCCGAGGAGCCCACAGAGCCACCCCAGTCCTCCCCATCGGAGGCTTGTGCCCCATTCCCCCCTCACCTCCTTCCACTTACCCTTCACTAGCCTCCCTTCCTGATGTATAAAATAAAGGACACATGTTCAAAAATAGAAACTCTCTTTATTTAACAAAACTGGGGGAGGGAGATTAACCTCTGGGGAGACTGGGAAAAGGAGGTGGGGGAGGGGAAGAGAGAGGGTGGGAGAGGGGAGGGGAAAACCTGGGAGGAGGGAGCTGGAAGGGGGAAGCCAGGGGAAGGAGGAGGAGGGGAAGTATCAAACTATGGTATGCCATATCTTCAGTACTGTGTACAGATGTGGTCTCCTCACCTGAAAAAAGATATTTTGGCCTTGGGAAGGGTTCAGAAAAGGACAACGAAAATGATTAGGGGTTTGGAACAGGTCCCATATGAAGAGAGGCTAAAGAGACTGGGACTTTTCAGCTTAGAAAAGAGGAGTCTGAGGGGAGATATGATAGAGGTCTATAAAAGCATGAGTGGTGTGGAGAGGGTGAATAAAGAAAAGTTATTCATTAGTTTGCATAATATAAGGACTAGAGGACACCAAATGAAATTAATGGGCAGCAGGTTTAAAACTAATAAGCGAAAGTTCTTCTTCACACAGCACATAGTCAACCTGTGGAACTCCTTGTCAGAGGAGGCTAAGAAGGCTAGAACTATAACAGAGTTTAAAGAGAAATTAGATAAATTCATGGAGGTTGGGTCCATAGAGTGCTATTAGCCAGGGGGTAGGAATGGTGTCCCTGGCTTC